TTCATATTGCTAATCATAATTCTTTAAGTATCCACAAAGTCATGAAGTGTTAATGTATTTAGGTCTTTTATGACGCATGCAGTTTAGAATATCACACTAGTCAAGATCTAAACCCCTCTTAAACTTAATTAAAAATCTTATTGTTCTTGAACTCATAATCATGAAACTAAAGTGTATTCATATGATGTAATAACATTGATCATTTATATCTATTAGACTGTATAGAATCCATGAATTTGTGAAGTTGACGTAGAAAGTTAGTTGGAGATGATTGAGAAATTGATTGAAAATTTGTATTGGATATGAGATTAGTTATTGTGGTACTCGATATTATAACTAAATCATGTGATGAATTGTTAGGATTAAGAAGTCAATTAACACAAACAAAATAATTGAAGATGTGATGAAAATATAAACACAAGGATTTAACATGCTCCATCAGAGAAATCGAGCTACGTCCAAAAAAAACTTGATAGAGATTTTATTAATAATATTCACACATTCATACAAATGGATATATTTATAATGATGAGCTAACTTAAAATATACTAATAGATAGGACCTAAGAAAGCCCATGACAATGTTGAATCATCTAGTCCATTAATCGAGTCCCAAAGTAGTTCTAACAAACGACAAAAATATTTCAACGTTCGTGAAACCTCTTGTAATAGGACATATTGTGTAGTCTTCCTTATTTTTTTAATGCAATCGAAGTCATTACACTTAGAATTACATGTGTAATACCCTATTTGTCTCAAAAAGTTGATGATCGTTAACAAATGAAAAACTATTCACAAAAATAAGTGTTATTAATACATGAAAAATAAAAAATTGTGTATTAAGTATACTTAGGAGAAATTGAGACTCTAATTGGATAGTGTTTGTTAACACGACTTCATGCATATAAAGATCATCAAAAAACGAAGTTCGTATACTAAAAGTTACGGGCTTTTGAAGAAAACGAAATCTAGCCGGCTAAAAGTGTAAAATTACGAAACTTCAAACGCTTCGTTAGGTGCCTTAAATGATGAATTTTCAACCCCGGACAATTTTTCCTCGATCACAATAAGATATAGTACTTGATTTTGAAGTTAACTCATTTTGCCCGAAAAACTAAAAAATCGGCCGATGCGACATAAGCTTATTCGATCCGTGGGGTTAGCTACGCATCTCGTTACCTATTTTTTATCGTGTTTTTGAACTCAGACTATTACATAATATTTGATTTCATTATTGGAATATTTTTCACTCAGAGTTATATCACTTTTGTGAAAAATGTTAATCGTAAAAGTTATAAAATATAACAAAATTGTAACTTCGGATGCTTTTTAACATAGTGTCGTCATTCGTTGGAGAATTTCGATATCATTTTTGGAATCACCACACTCGAGGAAATTGACAGCTATGTTTGGAAAAAATTTACGAAGTCAGGTTACAGCAAACGCAAATCGAGACAACATGTGTCGGTTGACATAACCTTAATGATGTCATCAAGGCGACATCACTTGTCCTATAAATATAAAAACAATCTTCACAAAAATCAGTCATATCTCTTCCTCTCTCTACCTCACTCTCTCTCTTTTCTCGACTTTAGAGTCACCAGTGACAAGCTCCGACCACCTCCGTTACCCAGCACTGCCGCCCTACTCTGTGACATCTCCGCCACCGCCACTGTCACCATCAGTCTCATCTTCGATAAAAACCAGGTCGATGAGCTATTGTCGGAAACACCAAAAACAGTCGCGAACGGCCTTAGAACGCAGCCACGCGCCGCCATGAAGTGGCTGTGCTCCGGCGGTTTCCGACGAAGTTCGTTTGACCCAAAAGTGACTTTTTCGTTTTCCTAATGAATGGATCTACAAACATGTGAAGTCATTTCGTTCAAAAAGCTTTCTGTTTAAAAGTCGAGAAAACGCGAAA